ATATCTTCAATTCTCTAATTTTGGTGCATATTTTTGTCACTTTTGGTAAAAAGTGATATTTTTGACTTCTTGTTAAAAACCACAAGTCCGATTGCTTTGATATTACATATATAGGTACTACATGTGGACCTCTCTCAGATTTGTTCATTTCGTGATGATATCTTCAATTATCTAATTTTAATGAATATTTATGTCATTTTTGCTATACATACTATACATATTGTTCATTTTCTAATGATATCTTATGTTCTTTAATTCAAATGTCCCTTGCTAACAGCGGAGCTAACTCAGCCGAGAGGCTGCTTGTTGTATTTACATATGTCATAGGAATTAAATGACAATGTACCGGTATGGCGAGTGTTCGAACAGTCAGCATGTACAGGAAACTGTCACACAGGACGTTCAGTATTCTGTCCTTGATTGTATCAATTGTATACTTACTGGATATCTAATAAGATCATAAACACCAAGGTTTCGGCCAATATGGCACGATATTTCAACGTCAGTTAAATAATTTGAAACAGATCTGAAAAAAAAAATACATCAAATTATTTACACACCAGACAAGTGATTTAAAGTATAAGTTTTCCAGAGTTGAAACTTTGTATCAAAATAAGAATACTTTTCTGCATTTGAACTGGGATTTCATCAGCACTTGTCATAGGAATGCGAGATAAACAATGAGTATTGACAACCACAAACTGTGTCGCGCATTCTGATATTCTCAGTCTATTTTCAAGTCATCGCAAATTTGGTGAAAAGATGTGTGTATTTGCACCCAATGAGAACTGTTTACTTCTAGCATATGGCAATGCGCATACAAAGAAGGATGCACTCAAGGGCGCACTCAAATTCATTTAATAATTGAATACAAGCTTTCACAGATTGGTGAGATGATGACTGAATAAACAGACCTTAGTGAATATGCTTTTAACCTGGCTTGGCTCAGGTGTACTAAAAAAATCTAACAAACAATCAAACAAGGTGCACTCTAGTGCAGCTGAATGCAAAAATAGTGGAAACTCACTTTACACCTTCATCTGGGAATTTGGGATACGCTGATCTCAGATACGATTTAATATATTCTGATGAGAAGATAAAACCTGACAAGAAAAAGTTTGACATTAATGAAAAAGCATACAAGAATTAAAATGTAGTGTCATTTAATATTCAATAATTTAATAATATTCTTTTCCTGTGTGAAATGTGAGATATGGTCACATGTCAATAATGCTTCATAAAAGTAGCATGTGGCCATTGACAACAATACCCTTTTTACTTAAACAGACTTTTGTCAATACAGTTTCAAGAAGATGGCAAGTGCAGAGGACAGTGGCAGTTAGGGAAGAGTAGGAAATCAAACTTGCGGTTAACCGCGGTCATTACCGCGGTGGTGGTGGGTGCTCGCCGTTCGACT